CTGCCGTTGTTTCGAGCAGTATTTCTCAAAGAGCTTAAAACGGCAATTTGAACAATTCAGTGACTTAGCGCCGAGAAAGCTTTAGCGACGAGCAGCTTGATAGGTGATAAGATGGTATTAGTATCAGTGCTGTGAGAATGCCCCTTTAATTATGGAGCTGGCTCAAAGGGCGTACATCTAGGGAGTTGTCAAAATTTCAAGCAAAAAAAGGAGTTTCCCATTTAAAACTATCACAACACTATACTATATGTCACCTTTATGACGAGTAAACTAGGGATGTGTTCTGACCAGCCTCGAGTCTCACAAGGGAAGTTTTTCAGGGTGTGAAGGGTGTGTGTCAACAGAATCGTCCGAGTTACCGCTACTGGTCGTGGCCGCGACGTCGCAACTGCAGTGGACGAGTTTCTGTGAGCGTCATTTGAATTTGAATGTTACAGGGACGCCAAGCAGGCCCGTCCCTTTCAATATTCAACTTCAATCAACTGCTCCAACCGTCAAAATCAAAATCCCGTGCTCTCCAGAATGTTGCCGCGTCGCGGCGCCGCGTAAGCCGCAAGCAGCGTCCCGACTACCGGACGATTCTGCAGACCGCTCCCCGGGTGTGGAGCACTTTTTCGAAACGGTTCTATCGATTTTATAGGAACTCATGCGTGGGCTACACAACCGAGATCTATTTCGCTGAGCAACCCTGTGAAAGTTGAAAAGGTGAGCAAATGGTCCAAACTTTTACTATCGTGATGCCAAAGTTTTTGTATTTCAGGGGGGAACTCCCCCAATTTCCTCCGAATAACGACAGTGTCAACAGTAGGTGTTACACTCATATCCAGAACCGGGTACCAGTGTCATGATTCTTTTTCGCCTCTGAAAGGCCGCAAGCGGAAAGGGACTTCCGCGTTGAGGAGCACATGAGAGCCCCTATAGCAAGTGAGGAAACGTTTTGAGAAAGCGCGCTCGCTGAATCACCTCCTGTGTCAGGCTAGATCACACCATATTCTGTATTACCGTAACAGAGTTTAGTTGTCAGAGTCGTGAGTAGGGTTCAAAAGTACTTTATGACTATTGCGTTGGTTTATCGTGAGCTTTTTCTGATACGGGTCAGTTGACTTATTTCAGTGATATGTTACTCCTAAAAATGATCGCGAGGTGTCACTCAGTTTGACAACTATGAAAGGAAGCAAAATAAAAGACATTGAGAAAGTCAAAATGGGAATTACGCTCCTTATTTTTACATATTCCCATCTAACAATATTACTATTTTTTATACCCTTTGCTTGTAGAAGATGTTGCTAAAGTCCTGCACTACTTATTGCTTATGTGAGCGTTTTAGATAATTTCTGTTAACAGTAAGTTCCACCGTATGCATCGAGCAGCAGGCGGAAGTGGTAGTGTGACAAATGGCGCTGCATACCACGCACATGATCCTGGGATCAAATCCAGTGTTTCGAGTCCTCCAGGCTAGTCAAGCCTCCCATTTCTCCGAGCTTAATTGATTGACACCAAATTTAGCAGGTTGCTTGGAAGGACGAAAATATTGGCTTGTACTCTGGCTGGCCAACGCTCGTCACTGCATAAGCAAAATCGCATCCAAAGTGCCACTCCGACTCGAAAGGAAACCTGATGCATGGCGCATCCTAAGAATGGATAGATCAGCGCCGGGTGTATCATCCTTTGTGCTTATATGTATGTGTGCTTCGAGCGCAGCGAACATTATGTGTTGTTATCGCGCACTTCCCACCACATTTTGACCCTCCTCAGTTAGGCTGGTGTCAGAGTCGATCTATGATCCGTCACGCGATTCGCGCGAATGGCGCGGCGGATCACAGAAATAACCAGTGCCCCTGACCTTCGAGGTGTGCTTCAATCCCTGCCGCCATTTCTGCTTGATGGTGATGGTTGAATGACGATTGTTCATCTACTTGTTTCATATTCGGTTTCAAATGCTCATGAGGACTGCTGTTTTTGCGCTTTACGCGATTGGCGCGAACGAATCACGAAATCTGACACCCGCCCTGAAGGAGGGTTCCGCGATAAGGTCGGAGAAGGAGAAGTATTCCTAGTTGAAAGAAAGGCGAGTATCCCCCCCCCCCCCGCGTCTTCCGAGGTTGTGGGACGATGCGCGTTCGCAGGGTGCCCCTAGCGTGTCATCAGAGATACCGCCATTCTGCTGCACTCCCGCTGATAGCTAACCCCTTGCCATTAGACTCCGGTCTTAACAGGAGAGTGAGAGTGCTAGCGTTAGAGGGCAGCATTCTCATTTTACGAGTTCTGGACTCATAGACTCTCATGGACTTTTCTTTACTCCTGCATCTCCGACCGGCTCTACCATCGATTTCTAGTGGCCTGCTTTTCCCATTGAACTCCGCCTCTGATCTAAAATCTCCTTCGGTTTTCGCTTTCAGTCCCTAGACATGCTTGTGGCCCCTCGTCTGGCCGTCTGCCGTCTCCGCATTGTCCATAGTCTTTCGTTTTTGGCCGGTCCCTCTTTTTCGGTGGAACGTACGGTACATAAATGCGATAACCGTATCAGTTGTGTGGTAGTGAAGATCAAGGGATGGTCAGTTTTAAGGTTTGCCATTCGAAATCAGTACGATTCTATGGTGTTCTCGACGCCAATCCCAAATACGGGATGTTTCGAGTTATTTAGTTTGTAAGTTGTTTCAAGGCAGCGCACACAGCGCCAAGAGATCAACATGAGCCTCTCAGAGAATCGATCATTACCGGGTCGTCGAATTGAGCTCTCTAAGCGATCTGGAGAAAAAATGACCTTTCACTTCGGTGCTTTAATATGGGAATATCCTGGACCGAACTCAAGTGGTGCAACGCGACCCTAGCTGTGTAACGCAGTAGAACCCCACGAAGGATCGGAAGTTTGACTTTACGCCATTTTGCACCAAACCTTTTCCCATCATATTCGTAACCAATCATTTAAAACTTGTTAGTTTTCGGTTTATTTGGGGTCCTGCTTTACGATATTTAACACCCGTTGTAAAGCTGGGCGCCACTCACCTTGCGCTACTGGTCTGGGATAAATCCATTAGAATCACGTTCAGGCCATCCAAGCCCTCAAATCCTCGGAGCAGTCAATATCATCCTCACTTGTCTGGGGGGATACAAACACTGACCCGTACATTGACTGGCACGTAAGTCATTGTATAGGCTAGATCCGTTCAAATTGCTGGTGCGATTCTGAAGGGAATTAGAGTGCTGAGTGCATCCCAGGTAATATGGGATTGTCAAAGCGAATGCTGGCGTACTTTCACCCTTCGACATGAATTGTTAAAGAAACGGCTCATCGGCTTTCATCATGGAGACCCTCTGCTATAGATCGGGTCGTGTGGATTCAGGCTTTGGTTCGAGTGGGGCTCTAATACGCCGTTTCAAGACTTTATCCGTCAACACTAAGATCCCGCCTTGCGTCGTCAGAAGAATACCAAAAGAAGTCAGGATGCGAAGGGGATGCTAAATTATCCCTTTTACTCGTGAATAAAAGGATAATAAAAGGATAAAGCATTTGCCGTTGATCAATCCCTTTTTGGGATGCGGCACGCATTCTACTTCCATTTGTACATTCGTAGTGGCGTTTGAATGCGATGTGGCCTATACAATGACTTGCGGGGGCCAGCCGATGTACAAGTCAGTGTTTTTATCCTCCCAGACAAGTCTGGTACCAATTAACCGACCCCGGAGGGATGGAAGGCTTGGTTGGCCCGGGCGACTCACGACCCAGGAATTCGAATTAACCCAACCGCGCGGCGTGATAAGCGGCCATTTGGCCACTAAACACTGGCGGCTCTCTCGTATAAAAACAGAACAATTATAAGGGGAGAAACGTTCCCTTTGCCTTAATTGCTTGTAGGAACCTCAAACACGTTTTCTCAAAAGCTACTGAGAATTTTCGACTTATTTCCCAATTACCTTCTATTTTGACCACCATTGAACAAAACATACGCGACATATTTACCACCATCGCAAACAGCCTTGTTTATAACATTATCAATCCAACTAACATAATCAGTGTAGAATCTCAGCCTGCTCGTCACTGAAGGATCTAGTTACCATGAGCACTATAAATAGATGTGTACGATAATCGCAAAGACGGAACAAAATGCAAAGTCATGCGGTATTTTTGTGAACGGAATTCATAGCGTCTCTTGGCAGCATCACCGATTAGTATCCTGCCCTCACAAGTTCCTAACTCCTGTCGACAGATCGCTGGTGGAGGTTGGAAACTACGCAAAATTCTGCGTTCCAACATCTGCTCAGGTATAACCGTCTTAAAGTAACAACCCAGATGAGTCGTGATGAATAGTCTTTTTCATGTCAAGGGTCTGAGATAGGGTATATCTAACGAAACATCACAGAGTGCCGCTGTCACAGCTCAGATTGACGACAATGGCCATGGCCTCGCAAAGTGAGCTAATGGACGAGATATCTCGCGCACACCGCGTTACAGGCAACGTGAGTTACTACGTGACGGCTATTTCAATACACCCTCGCCTCCTTTTTTGATATAAATTTTATCCCTTTACTGCAATTTACTTTTGTTACTGTATGCCGAACGAGCGTTTTTACGATGTTATGTTATCCTTTACTGGTTTGTTCAAACCCATTACACCAAGTTACAAACTCGTTTTCGTGCGTTTTCTTATTCCATGGCATGGACCAATATTTTTTGACAGGAATCACAGGGCAAACGCAGACCTCATTAGCGTCAAAAAGCAAGTACTGAAGGGAATCGAACATCCGAAATTTACAGTACCAGACCGAAAAAAGTCCCACTATAGAGGTAAACCAAAAAGTTAGAGTTCAAAGAGCCTATCTGTGATCCTCTGCAAAACTCAGCCCATCGTAAAGCACACATGCCCGAGAAACTATGCATGTTTAGGCCTCCTTCCTTATTTCAGAGGAGCTCCCCTACTCGCGTTAACTTCCACTGACTAAGGTATGATATTATTTTTGTATTTTTGATATTATTATACTGGCACCTACAAAACATTCATTTAAAAGTGGATACCTGCGCTCCAAATAATTCCCTTCGAGCTCGATGTACCTGTTGGACGAGGATCAACACTGCACCACTGAAATAAATACTCAAAGGTATTAAGAGGCTTGTGTCAATCGCGTTGAATCTGTACTGAACAAAACGGTAAGCTTTACCTGGCTCATCGGTTGGTCAGGTTTTGCTCTCTCAGCGAACGCATGGAATATGTCAAGACTACAGTACAATTGTCCCATACAAGGCTCTATCAAATGAGTGATTGGGTAAAATGTGGCATTTCCGTCATTTTGGCGATAAGTGAGCTGAAAATCATAACATTAGTTATTGAGAAAAATTAAGGAACTCAACTTGAGAAGCTTTATTACTTCTAGTATCTGATAATTAGTCGTGGCAATTGAACCGTGTAAACGCCTAGCGAGGCAACAACTGGGAGTTTCGCCCCTCGGACTTGGAGTAGTACATCGCCGTTCCAGGGGCAAGCGAATCAAGTGTTCGGAATTTCAAACCAGCTGTTGTTACTATGGCAATATTCAGGGGCTGGCCCCGGGACAGAACTGGTGTGCCGTTTTACACGAATGAAAGCATTGGTATGAAGTGGGCCATAATAAAGAAAAAAGGAATGGAATCCGTTGTAAACGCTAAAGTTGGGGGCGTGCTTATTTTGGTGCTGAGTCAGTGAGGTATGGGCACAAAAAGAGAGGATGGGCGACAAAGAGCAGTAAGGCCGATGTCAGACTTTGCGAATCGCGCGATTCGCTAGCGTCTGCGGTCGCGTCGCGGCCAGTGAATCACTCAATTGGCTGGTACCGCAACGCGACCGCGGACGCTAGCGAATCGCGCGATTCGCAAAGTCTGACATCGGCCGAAGCAGCGTCAGAGATCAGCATACGGCAGACGAGGAAAAACGAAAGCGGTTGAAGCGGTCTTGGCAAGCTCCTATCTCGTGCTCACTTTACAACGGGAAACGAGGAACCTGACCTTTGTGAACCATCCCCTCCACAAGTAGATTCATCGACATGATCTCGACTTGAGTTGTGCCTTCATGTCTGAATGTGATCCATACTCCCACAAAGGAAACATTCCTCTGGCAGGCCTATAGAGCGGTCGGCTCTTTGCAGCGCTTCAGATCCTAAAGCACTTCAGATTTCATGACGGCTGAGATCTTATGCATGGTGCTGAATATGGGGGCAAGGCTCCTAGCTCAAGACTTCTTTGCGCAATGTGTCTGATGAGAAGCCAGTGCACCAGCGTGCTGACGTTAACGCAGTGTAAATCTTGACATCAAGTCTTCACACTGGAGAAACTCCATTAGACTCATAATTGTACCTGATTCTCTACTAGTGAGCCAATAAAAAGTCCACCGCAATAATTGAATGTTTCAGCTACATTTCAAAGCGCGCTCACCTTGAAGTAAGGTCGATCATCGGTGCGGTTCCTCCATAGTTCTATAAAGGTGGCCGCTGAGTAATCTGGATGCCCATGCGAAGCAATCACGCGTGTCCCGATGCCCAATATGGAGAAAAATGCATAAATTGTGGTATCGTGCTGAAAAAATTTTGAATTTTACAGATTTTTGTGGCGCTGAGTGATTCTTACGCCTGCTGACAGTGACTACGAGCGGCTAAATTATGAACTTATAGGGTAACACACGATTCTTACCGCTGAATTATGCGTAGTACTTAAGCCCATTGCATTCTACCCCAGTTGATAGCCAGTCTTGTTCATGCATTGCAATTTTATGTTCATGTGCATATTCAAGTCGTTGATCATCGAACCACCACGGATTTTCTGTATTTCCTTTCCAATGTCGAGATTATTCATCGTCAGAGTTCCATCTACAATACAAATAGCTAAAATTTACTCAGGAAATAGAATAGAATAGACGACCACAGAGAAGCCATACATTATACGAAGTTATACGAGAAAGGATATTTGGTCTCCATATTTCAAAGGATCGCACTTCGCTGAATTCAAACCGATTGCTTCTAACATGAAAACAAAGGCACATCCAATTTTATGAAGGGAACCTTTTCAGTGGCCTCTACGTGGACGGCATCAGAGAAAACTGTCACAGAAACATGGGTGCATGGGCCGAAGCTCCTCGACTGGCGTCACTACCATTTAGGCCGATGTCAGACTTTGCGAATCGCGCGATTCGCTAGCGTCTGCGGTCGCGTCGCGGCCAGTGAATCACTCAATTGGCTGGTACCGCAACGCGACCGCGGACGCTAGCGAATCGCGCGAATCGCTAGTAGCGAATCGCGCGATTCGCAAAGTCTGACATCGGCCTAACCAACGGGAAATACATATGTGACTAAAAAATCGCTAAATCGCGGAACGAGCAAAGTGTCTTTTCTGCCCCCCCCCCTCCCCTGTATAGAAACTTTTCACCACAAATTGAAGAGGCATTGAAGTAAGGCGAAAGGTATTTTACTAAAAGCTGTCAAATTAAGAGTGTTTTCATAACCAGCAGTGAAAACGACTTCTTCCGCTTCTATTTTGGTGGAT